AGTTTGACAAAATCTGGAAGTGGGAAGAGGATCAGAGTCCCAGGTTCTGAAAAGGTCTTGATAGTCAGTCTGGTGACTTAACTTCACATCCATGGTGTATGTTACCAAGCGTTTGCAAAGTGTCCATACGGCTCCTAAGACTATTGGAAAGCACTCTCCCAGAAATGAATGAAAATTGCTGCCAATTTCCTCTAACATTTCTCTGTACATTTTTGGCACAGCTCCAGCTGTCATAGGTTCTTAGACATTATGAGCGACATTCAGACTTTGGCTCACTCTACTGCTTTTCAATAGGATGTTGAGTGTTGGAGGCTGTGACTAGAAAAGTAAGTCACCTGAGTCCTAAAATCCAGCTGAAGCAGGTCCTAAGAGGAGCGACAGAATATGGAATGTGTACCATCAGAGAGCCCATTCTTTTTTTTTTCTTTTCTTTTTTTTTAGCATTTGAGGTAGGGTCTCCCTGTAGCCCCCAGCTGTCCTGGAAGTCACTGTGTGGACCAGGCTGGCCTTAAACTCACAGAGATCTGCCTGTCTCTGCCTCCCAAGTGCTGGATTAAAGGCATGCACCACCATTCTTTTTAAAAAATATTTATTTACGTTTTAAGTTTTATGTGTGGTTTTTGACTACCTATATGCAAGTGCACCCATGTCTTGCAATGCCCACAGAAGCCTGAAGAGGGCATCAGATCCCATGGAACTGGAGTTAAGGACAATGATAGCAGCTATTTGGGTGTTGTGAATAGGACCTTGGTCCTTTGTAAAAGTGGCCAGTGCTCTTAACTACTGAACCATCTCTCCAGCCTTCCCTCCCCACCAAAAAAAAATAAAAATAAAAATAATGGGACAATATTGTTTGACACTATGTAGTCTAGGAACTGGCATTTCATGTTCATTTTTAACAATCATCAGAGGAAATGATTTACTTTGTGAATGATTACTTAGGGAATGAAATTACAAAAAAAAGATAAGAGAAGGAATGTTGGCTATGACAAAAGTACAGTAGACATGCTCTTTCGTAAGATCAATACACGTGCCATTATGATTCCACAAGAGACTTCGGAAATCAGATATGAAGGCCCCACTGTGTTGCTCCTAACACATGAAATCCAGAAACATCGTGAGTAGTGTGGAATTACAGCACACTGCCAGATGGAGATGGGGTGACCGGGAACAACAAAGTACCAACCCACTGTGCTGTTCCCTGGAGTTGCACAAGTGTGCACCTTACCCAATGCATTAATTTTAAATGATAGTGCACCACTCTATAAAGAGTACACATCATAAGTTTGGTGAAAATTCACATGGTCAGCACTGATTAGGACAATTTAACTTGTGAATTTTATGTATTAGAAATTTCACCAAACAAAGGAAGAAAAGAATAGTAATTACAATTTCTTCTTCGGTTTCCGTTACCTTCAGCATTCATAAATTATTTTTTTAAAAATTAACTTTAAAGTTCGGAGTTGACTTATTTTTAAGCAATATATTATCTATTTACACTAACAAATTAGCACATTGTCCCTTAATTTAGCTCTACAGGAGAATGCTTTGAGCAGAATCCTAATTATTTCACATATTTCATGTCACTTGTTGGGAGCTATTACTGAGCTGTGGCAGGTTGCCTTTACTCTAGAGTTTGTGTGTTTTGCACACAAGTATCAAATTGTTCTGCCAAGTCAGGAAGAATGTGTTGATATTCTAGGGAGGACAGGTAAATGGTTGAATTCACAACAAGTATTTGACCATTCCTTTACTGTCAGGAGGAAGTGGGAAAAAAGAGTTGTTGGCCCCAATTCAGCTAAGCAAACGGTGGCTGTCTGATGTTCTGCTGTATAAGAAGGCTGAGATAAAATAAACCGAGGCTGCAGTCTCTACTGACAGTCCTCCCAAGTACCTTTCTCTGTGTCTTGTTTTTCTTTCAATCCTCACTCCCCCTTTCAGGTGCTGTTCATCTTGGCCAGCTGGCACTGGCAACTTGTCACAACTTTCAATCATTTTCTTATTCAGTTCTCAAGGTTCATCATAATTGATGTTTCCTCTCGGAGCATTAATCTTCAAGTTGTTAAACTTTCTGTATGCTGTGACATGTATTTTACATAATTTCAGTTTCTGGGTTTGTCTCTTACACTGTGAACAATGCAAAATAAATTAGCTATCTTATATATCTGGAAAAGTTCCATTGAAATAAACATTGAAAAGGATTTTTATAGAGACATATAATTCAATACTTCGTT